CTCTCATGGCTTAAACTTGATGAGAAATCAAGTCAAGTATGGTCAGATCATCACCTTGCCCTCTCTTTTTTTCATTCCCTTGGACATAACCACAGAGCCTTGAATTCTACCCAGTTTTCTTTTTATTTTAAACCAATCTTGTTTAGTGGCGCTCCATTTGATAGATTAGATCCCTTGTAGCTCCTTTATTCTCATTCTAAGCCAGACAGCCTACTGCAGTTGATTATCTAGATCAGTGGTTCTCAGCGTTCTAATGCTGCGATCCTTTAATATAGTTTCTCATGTTCTGGTGACCCCCCAACCATAACATTATTTTTGTTGCTACTTTATAACTGTAATTTGGCTACTGTTATGAATTGGGCAACCCCTGTGAAAGGGTTATTCGGTCCCCAAAGGAGTTGTGATCCACAGGTTGACAACTGCTGATCTCTGATCTAGATCTTTAGACTCTCCTCTGATAGAGTTTGATGTTGCTTTTCAACTTTTAGTCAGTAGATGATACAAAACTACATGTACACTTAGGAAGTTTTCTGTAGACTGGAGAAAGAAATGCTTGTGTCTATGGACAAGGAGACTAGTGCCATACTTAGTATGTTCACATAGTTGAAAATTCTAAAAGATAACGTAGGGAAAAGTTAAAGTTCTCTTCTATTGAGGCTTCTAAGTTACCAATAATTGCACAACTGTATTTGCATACTGTACATATTCTGTAATACTTTTATTTACCTTTTCCCCCCTGATGTTTTTAGCCTGAGAAGTTTATTCTTCTGTACTATCTTTTCAAACATTTTATTGTGGTTTGGGTGACAGTTTACAGAGCAAGTAGTTACTTAATCAGTAATGTATATAGGAGACAGATGTGGCTATCTGATTCTAAAAGATTGACAGTCTCAGAAACGTTTATACAGGGTCACTAAGAATTGGAATCAACTTGGTGGCACTGCATGGGTCAATACTTTTTTATTCTTTTACCTTTTAATAAATTATTTTATTGGGAGCATTTACAGCTGTTAAAATAATCAGGGTCACCACTTTTTACACATTTTATTTCCTGACATGAATCGCTGTCTCTTTATTTTCCATTATTTAAGATCTTTTAATTGGCTTCTACACACCCAGAGCAGAGTTGTGGGAACTTAACTGATTAAATTAAATTGGGCCCAGAACACAGTATGGAAAAGCTTTGTCTTATTCCTCTGAAAAAATGTGTGTTAAGGAATGGCTTAAGGTTTTCTTGAAAATGCAGTTGGAAAGCAACTTTTAACTGTCTTCCCTCCCTGTCTCTTATAGCATGGAAGATTCCCACAAAAATAACACTTCAGAGACAGCAGGTCAATCCAGTTCAGCTGTTCAGGGAGCCCGCATCGCTCACATTGCTCAACAGGTAACGCAGGGACCAGCCAAAATAGGGAGTCAATTAAGAATATTTGGATGCAGACTAATCTGGCCTTTAATTACAAAATACTTAAAAAGAGAAGCAAGAAAAAAAGGTGGTAAATGTTTATTAAAAAAAAAACACCCCAAAATGGCAGGAAGGGGGATTTGATTTCTGTGTTGTCAGGATCTCCTGGTTTTCCTTTACAGGAAGTATATTTTGTGTTGTCTTAATACATACATATACTTCAAAGCTTGGAACAGTAGAATTTATTTTCTATGGGACATGGATTTCTTTTTTGGGGAGGG